CGCGCCGCAGCGCTCGGCTGCCCCGTGCTGCGCCTGTGCCCGCTGGTCCCGGGGCCGCCCGCGGCCCGCCGGTGGTTGCGCTGCTCTGGCCGCTGCTGCTCAGGCCGGCACGGAATTTCTCTGAAATTCCGTGGACTGAAACAGCTGGGCTTCCGGGAGTCCTTGAGCTCACCCTGCTTGTTCTTATCTTCCACCATGTGTACTTATGGCAACTTTTTAATCTGGAAGATTGTTTACATGTTCTTTCTGAGTGCCTGGGGGAAAAAATATATTGAAATTATATCCCTGGGGTTTTTAGCCTGAAACAATCCTTTATCTCATATTTATAAATATTTAATACTTTTTTAACTGTCTATAGTAACTATCACATAGCCATTGCTGTATGTGTTTATCCGGGTTTTTTTTTAGTGTGGTCAGCTTTTTATCCCCAAACTCAAGTTATAGTGACTCTTCAGTTTCAATAATTGTTTTTAACAAGCTTGTCATTAAAGGCCAGAATAGTAACCTCTGTCTTTCCTGAGAGGTCTTTCTGCAACTAATGCAGACATGGAGCAGGACTGAAAAACAGTCTGCTGACTGCCTACCATATCTTCCCTCCTTCACTGCAACTCAGAAAACATTCTGTGACCACCTGAATGCAAATACAAATTACTAAAACAACCTTATTCTCTTTTCTTATATGTCAAATGTGATTATGATAGAATTTCTTTGCCATTACTATCTCCAGTATGGTTTACCAGTCCTCTCCAGTCTAAAAACATGGACAGTTAAACAACAGCAGAATTTACGGGACAGATTTTAAATTTCCTCATCCACAAATCTCACTGCCATTTGTCGAGTATTAAGTAGGAGCTTGCCAATGACATGCAACATCCTCACTCTGAACTCAAAAGAAAAAAGAAAAATAAGACTAACCCCAAAACCCCACAACACTCTGAACTTCAAACAGATGCACAGAAAGTGACTCAGTGTTGTCATTTCAAAAGTATTCAAATACCTTGTGAAACATTTTCAGAAAATTACCTTAAGAAGAGGCAATCCAAGGCTCTAAACCTAAAGTCTTACAGCTGTTATGATGATGCAAACCAGAGAGAAAATCAAGGAGAAAGATATAAACTCTTGTACTCATTATAAGAAAATATTTTGTTAGCTCCCCATATTCATATCTAGAATGCAGATTAAAAGCATTTTAATTTTTCATAATACAGACTGTAGGGGGGGGGGCAGTTGTTGTTTTTGGGGGGTTTTTTGGGTTTGGTTTTTTGGGTTTTTTAGCCAATGGGTCATATCCATTAATGCAGCTCATCTTTTCTTTGGAAAAGTACTCTTAATACCTAAGCAGCAATACATTTCCAGTTTCATTTTCCTCTTTCTCCACTAAGAAAATCATATTTAATAGCCATTGCATCAGCATTGTTGATAAGATATGTTAGGAACAATGTTATTGCCTGTGGAAGACTATGTGTAATAATTAAAAATATGTTGCTTTGTTCAAAAAGTATCAATGGAAAATTCCAGAAAAATTAATCTAATGATATAAAGTATATTTAAAGTATATTTATATCTGTGGGTTCTCTTTCTGTTCATAGTTCTGAACTTTACAACAAATAGGAAAAATAAGTTCTGAATATTACTAAAGTATTCAAAATGAATTTTATATAGCTGTACTCACCAAAGTTTTTGTCTTGATCATCAGTCAGTCTTTCCAGAGTTATTATGGTAGGTTAACTAAGCAGGTTTTATTTCTAGTGGTGACTGCAGTTGTTGCATACTCAACTAGGACGTTAGATCCGGGTTTCAGAAATAAAACTCCCTGGTACACGTAGGTGCATTTGGAAACACCTTAAAACAAACAAAAGCCATTGGAGAGGAGGAGTTAAGGTAGATGTTTATTTAGAACTACTGAAATATAGCTTTGCAGGGATTTTAAAAAAAAGCATTGGTTTTTTTTTGAACTTACATTAGAAGTATCTAAAACTACTTTGAAATATCAGATCTAAATAGACTTTGCATGCAGAACTAATCAGAAAGATAATATATTGATTGACATTTTGTGTAACAGCAATTTCATAATACAGAATGTAAATGAGTATAAATTATTCCCCTTTTTATCTTACCTGGGAAACAATGTCCCTTCATGCAAATGCTACCTTGCTTTCTGACATGTGGGTGCTCCCACATTATAGTCTTCAGAAAAACTCATACAACAACTCAGGCATTGACCCTTCCAAAATGGGAACTATGTAAATTTATAACCATTAACTTTTATGTAACTGACTTTAACCACAGATCTCAAAGCATTTCAAGGAAGGGGTAAATAATTATGAATACTGTGTGTTCACAGGTAGAATGAGAGAGTTCTAATGGGTGACCTTTAAAAAACCTTTGGCTAAAACTACAGTGTATTAGAATAATGGCACAAGGCCTGATGAAAGAAGTAATTAAATGTTTACACCTATTCACCACAAAAATAGGCCTAGTTTGATGGATACTGACTCGGCAAACCCCTTTCTACCACTGCTCTTTGGTCATATTGCCTTTTTTCCCATCCGGTGGTTTCCAGTCAACCAGACCGCGACACATCAGAGCGCAAGGCCCATGTTCCCTCAGCGGGGCACGGGCCCGAGCGCGGCGGGGCTGCGCTGAGGCTCCGCTGAGGGCTCCGCGCGAACACCGCCGCCTCCCGCCGGC